ACTGAAAGTTGACGGTGAGGGGTGGAGTGATTGTGAATTTGTGTGTGAGTGTCAATTAAAATTTTGTAAATTCTGTCCGTTTGGAGAAAATATGTATATGAGCCATTGTTCCGGTGGGTTGACTGAAACATGATTTAAAGGACCCGAAAATGGGTGAGAAAACGTGAAACAGAGGGTTTGAACTTTAGTTTTTCAAATGAAATTTTTAATTGACAAAGATAAAAAATGACATGGCAAGTGATGTGGATCTGATGTGTCATTCCTGTCAAGCAAGTGAGAAACACGTCTCATAGTCAATGGTCAGAGGTGTTTAAAATACTCTTTTTGGACACGTACAAGTGCTTAGATGAAACTTCGCAGTAATGGGACCGGAATGTCAAAGCGGTATAACTACAAGTGTCTACCAGGCTATTCTGCCTTTTTAAAAAGGAAAAATTGATAAGAATGGCATATAACCAAACATTGTTTTAAATTATTTTTTTGAAAAAAAGTAAAAAAATTTGTATGTCCAAACGGGCTGTAAGTGCAGAAGTTGTTCTTCATTAGGTGAAAGATACATTTTAAGCAGAACTTTGTTTTTTGGCTCTTGTTAGAAGTGCTTTTCACTCGAAAACAAGCAAATTGTTTTGTGAGATTCATATATTTCATTTTCTATTTGCTGTTGCAGAATGAAAATATTCGAATGAAGTGCCGAATAAAGCGGAGTGGATACAGAGAATTGCAACTAGGTCGGGATTGAGGTGTAGTTGAATGATTGATTGATCATTGTCCAATTGTTTCTTCAAATTATTTCACAATGATGAAAAGGTTAGGATCAATCCGGAGCTATGTCAATCACAGCATACATCCTTCTTTCAACAATGTACAGTCAAGTAATGATCATATAATCTTCTTATGTAAGCAAAAGTTATTTAAACAAGCTCTAGAGACATTCGAGTTATTACAAAGGAACACATCTTTCAGTTTGTATCCAAGCACGTATGCTCAGCTAGTATCGGCGTGCTCGTCTCTTAGATCCCTGCAGTATGCAAGAAAGGTTCATAGTCATATATTATCATCCAATTATCAACCAGACATGATTTTTCAAAATCATTTGTTGAATATGTATGGTAAATGTGGGTCGTTGAGCGATGCTCGAAAGGTGTTCGATGAAATGCTCGAACGAAATTTGGTCTCTTGGACTTCGATAATTGCTGGGTACTCGCAAAATTGTCAGGAGAATGAAGCTGTAGATCTTTATTTTCGAATGCGACAGTGTGGTCTTACACCGGACCAGTTTACGTTTGGAAGCGTAATCAAAGCGTGCTCGAATATGAATCATGTGGAGATAGGGAAGCTGTTGCACGGGCATGTCATTAAATCAGAACATGGTTCCCACCTTATTGCTCAGAATGCACTGATTGCGATGTATACAAAGTATAGTCGAATTAGTGAGGCATTGGCAGTGTTCTTGCGTATTAAATCGAAGGATTTGATTTCATGGAGCTCAATGGTTGCTGGATATTCACAGCTTGGCTACGAATTAGAAGCTTTGTCCTGCTTCAGGGAGATGCTTAGTCGGGGAATCTACAAACTGAATGAATTCGTTTTTGGAAGCGTCTTTAGTGCCTGTAGAAGTCTTGCACAAGCAGAATATGGAAGACAAATACATGGTTTAAGTCTAAAATTCGGGCTCGGTTTTGATGCTTTTGTTGGTTGTGCTGTTACTGACATGTATGCCAGATGTGGATGGTTGCATTCTGCAAGAACTGCATTCTACCAAATAGGAAACCCTGATCTTGTATCCTGGAATGCACTGATTGCAGGATTTGCACACGGAGGTGATCCCGAGGAGGCTATATCTCTCTTTTCTCAAATGAGAACTTTGAGGTTGACCCCAGATGATGTCACAATTCGTTCTTTACTTTGTGCCTTTGTAAGTCCATCTGCTCTCTTTCTAGGAAAGCAAGTGCACTGCTATGTTATTAAGAGTGGCTTTGATTTAGAGATTTCCGTCTCTAATACATTACTTTCAATGTATGCCAACTGCTCAGATCTTCCAGATGCATATAAAATATTCAATGAGATACAAAAGAAGGCAGATTTAGTCTCGTGGAATGCCATTCTTACCGCTTTTCTACAACAGAGTGAGTCTGGAGAAGTCTTCTCATTATTTAAAATGATGCTTCTTTCTTCTAATAAGCCTGATCATATTACATTAGTTAATATGCTTGGGGCTTCTGGAAAAGTAGCCTCTTTGGAAGTAGGAGACCAGGTTTGTTGCTATGCCATGAAAAATGGGCTAAATGAAGATATATGTGTCATGAATGCTTTAATTGACATGTATGTGAAATGTGGAAATATGACAAGCTCTAGGAAGCTCTTCGATAGTATGGAGAACCCTGATGCGGTCTCATGGAGCAGTTTAATAGTGGGGTATGCTCAGTTTGGATACGGAGAAGAAGCTCTAGATCTCTTCCAGAAGATGAGATATTTAGCTGTCAAGCCAAACCAAGTTACCTTCGTCGGGGTTTTGACTGCTTGTAGCCATGTTGGACGAGTAAAAGAAGGGTGGCTGTTGTTCAGAGCCATGGAAACGGAGTTTGGTATTGTACCGACTAGAGAGCATTGTTGCTGTGTGGTTGACATGCTTGCCCGAGCTGGCTGCATAGAAGAAGCAGAAGCTTTTATCAATCAAATGGAACTTGATCCTGATATTGTGATGTGGAAAACTTTGTTAGCTGCTTGTAAGACACGTAACAATCTTGATGTGGGCAAACGAGCCGCAGAGAAAATTTTGGAGATTGATCCCTCGAATTCTGCTGCACATGTGTTACTCTGTAACATTTTTGCTTCTACTGGAAGTTGGAAGGATGTGGCATCACTGAGGGGTCTGATGAGACAAAAAGGTGTCAAAAAGGTTCCAGGTCAAAGCTGGATTGTAGACAAGGATCGGATCCATGTCTTCTTGGCTGAGGACTGTATGCACCCGGAAAGGGACAGAATATACTCCATGCTAGATGAACTGTGGCTACAGATGCTGGATGACGACTATTTGCCCCTTCATATTTAGGAGTAAAACATTTGGACGAGATGAGTAATGGTTATACACTTCTTGCAATGTCCACATTGTGGAGTTGCACCCTTGCAAAACCACATTTTACTTATGCAGGTGTTTGAGTTGGTTTTTCTAAATATGAGGAGATCTGGAAAGAGAAGATCTGAAAAATTTGCGACAAGCTTGACTAGAGAAACAGGGAAGCAGCAAATATTCTTGTGAAATGGTCAAAGCAGTCTGCTGTTTTCCAAAGAACAAGTTGCCATTGTTTCATATAGAGATGTAGTTCAATTATCAGATTGCAGATTAACTTAAGACACCAAGGAAGATGGTTGCCAATTTGATATAGAGAAAGAGATGAAGATAGCAACAGGGAGAAAATTGGAATTGCGATCAAACGTTAGAACTTAGATCTCAGGAAATATAAGATGGCTCTACTGCTTTTAAGGAGTGAATGAATCCTTGTTTAAGGAAGCTATGTTACCGCTCCTGGAAACTTTGGTATATTAGAAAACCAAGGAGCCACTTCAGGATTTGATCAGTAGAGTTCTGAGAGTTCACATCAAGAACATCACTAGTAAGAGCAGAATTATATAAGGGCCTTGCACTATATGAAGGTCACAGCAAAAGCTAGTCATGGGTAGGTCCACTCCTTTCTCACTAAATGGTCACCATGTTGAGGAAGAAGCATCTCCTGAGGCAGCCTTTCAGGCCTCTTGTGAAATTTGTTGATTCTTTGCTTACTGACTGAAAAAAAAGGCCAGAGACACTTCCAATATTTGTAGTCTTCCTAGACCACCTAAGGAATTGATGCAGTGTACCACCTTAAGCAACAGATTAAACGAATCGCGAGCTGTAAGAACTCTCAGGACCATTAGCTCCCTTGTGTTGAGGAAGTAAAAGCTTATTTCCACAGAGAAGCAACTCTGAGGTACTTAATAGTTGATACCTGATGGGGCTTTCTCATATGCAGCCCCCTATGGTTGGAAATCTGCTATTGCTCCTCTATATAGGTATAGCAGAGAGGCATCAAGGGAAGGCCATGCTCACCGTGTTCTCAAGCACAAATGAACACCTCTTTACTGTTTGGTAAGAGATGCAGCACCTATTGCCTGGAGGTATAGGAATCAAAGCTGATGTCTTCTCTTTGGTTAGACTCGTAGTTAATTGTTGTGTCTTGGAGGCTCACTAAATTGTAAGTGAAACTTTGGACCATTTGCTCTAAGAAAGTGGTTAATGCGTAAATTTTAGAAGAAATTGCGTCTTTGGGCCTATTTTCGTGGTCATCCATAAGAATCAGATTTCCAGTATGACATCACATGGTCTGTGAAGAGTAGGACGAGGGCACTGCAGATTAACTTCAGAAAATTCATTGCAAATAGAAGGATATTAGAACTAGTTGCTCAAACTGTTTTGAAGCTTTGGCCTTACTGAAATGTCCTCAGGTGGCTATCTGGGTTAATGCATGTGCACCTATATGACTTTTGTGAGTTTTTGCCCAACATGTTCTTTGTTTCTGGTGGAAATGGCTCATCAACCTGTGTAAGGATGTTATTATAGATGTAATACATCAGTTCTAGATTTCCAGGACCCTTGTTTATCTCGAAGTATTTCAACTATTTTTTTTTATAACCGTTGTGTCCGGACTAACTTACGCGCACCTCAACCAATTACACGGGATACCTGCTGCCTCCCACCAACAAACAAGTATCAGGTAACTCTATACACCAAGGCTTGTCTCTGATGGGAGTTGAACCTGGGACCTCGTGGTTCTAACCCACTTCATTGACCACTAGGCCACACCCTTGGGTGCCAAAGTATTTCAACTATAATGGAAGGATACTTTCATATTGTAATTATGTGGTGCATATTATGTGAAGTTTCTAATCTAAGTATTCTAATATGACTATAACACTTCAAAATAAAGAAACATTGATCTTCTAAGGCTCCAAATTCACAAGATGACATGCTTTTTTATCTTTTACAGTTTTACTAAAATACTACACATCAACAGATATAAACATCAATCGATCAATCTCTAAATTGGTTATCCTATTTCAAAAGAACATTATTAGTTCAACTCAACATCCTCATGCCCCTCTGGTTGAGGGGCCGCGTGACTTTATCTCTTTGAAGAAGGACGAACTCTTCTTTATATACACAATTTGATGTACGAAATTGGAAGAAGAATGGATTTACATTCTGTTAGCTCGGGTTGCTATTCCATTGCCTTGAAACGACTTGAGTGACTCCTCGAGTAAAGGAGTTCTGAGATTTTCGATAGATTCCCTACTTGGAACGCTAACTCTTTTCCTCCTCAGAGTTGAGCATGATGGTTCATCAACCTGATTATTGAGAACAAAAGAATATATTGTTAGTATAACACTCATGTCTATAAAATTTCATAGGAAGCAGAAAGGCCTTGGTTGAAGATAGGATGTGAAGAATGGTAAAATAATAAGATTTAAGAAACCTAAAGTCTTTTTAATAGATGACCATTAATTATCTTCTTGGCAGAAATTCTGGTTTATCGTAAAAAAGGTGAACAAATAAACTCATCATCCCCCGAGTCAAGAACTTGAGAATAACAAATGTCCTGTTCAGGTATCTCGATGGAAATTCCCAAATGATATTTTCCATCGAAATGGTATTCTTGCCTATACCAGCGACCCTCAATACAAGAGTTGGCGCTAGATCTTTTTAATGGAAATTTTTCTCCAAATGATGAAGAGAAATTTTTAACTATCTGAAAGTATATATTCTACTAGTAATAATGTGCAAGTTGACTGAGTATTAAACTGTTAATGGCAAAAATCGTTTATACTTGGATGGTTTTCTGAGCTTTTACCTTGTACTCATCTGTCAATACTTTTCCTGCATTTTCTGCAATCTCTGATACTTTGGAGGAATGACTGTCTTTCATTTGTTTCATATCCTCAACACAAGGATACATAACTGAATAAATCTTCTCACATTCATTATGATCAAGTTTCAGCAAACCTGCATCAGTTTCAACTGCATGATTCTGTGGTAATAAGACTAGAGAATGTTCTCTTGCAGCATCAGAGGAAGAAAAAATTCACAGGCAACATACTTTCCATGGCTGAAAGAAGGTTCCTCTTGGAAATAGCTGTTTCTTCTAGTATAGAAGTCACTGTGGAGGAAAACTGAGTGCTGATCTTTCCATTTGATTCCATGGCACTCCTGAAGATATGAAGGTAAAAAAGGTAAAACAAAATAAGGTTCTTCGATAAGATAGTAATTGATTCATGAAATGATAACTTACTTCATAATGCAATCAACTGAGTTGATATTTCTTGTTTGTTGTCTAAGAAGGGATTCTTGGGCATTTCTCCATCCATCTTCGACCCCCTTTGATTTTGCCAAGCTGAAATTTAAGATGAAAAATTTAATAGCTTTCTCAAGGTATACAATTCCAAAAGCAAAATATAATTCTTATAAATGTATATCATCATAAACAAACTCAACCAGCATTCGATGTGCCCTGCTAGGCTACTTTTCCAAAAGTCCAATCTAGTTGAATCCTCGATATGGTGGGCTTGTGTGCTTTCAACGTAGCTTGTCCATTCTTCATAGGCAGAATTAGTGCAACCTTGTATGTTTGAGAACTCAGCATTTAGATTTCTGGTTTTGATACTAGTGCACTCTCTAATGCCATTTACTGCTGTTTGAACCTAAAGAAAAGGAAAAATGGAAGTGTTGGATAATATTCTGGCGGAAATTCCATGCGTTTAGGAATAGGAAAAATCCATGAAAAGGCTTTGATACTAGTGTTATGTTTCATTCACAATATAAATCTTTATGGAATAGCATTCTCAAGCTGTGATTATTTAGTTTAAATTCTAAAACCATAAAAGGTATGTACAAGTTGCAATGAAGAAGCACATACCAGTTTTTTCTTCCTAGTATTAGAAGCTGACATAAGCTCTGCAACTTTTTCTATCAGTTGTCGTTCTTCACTTGCAGCCAACTCCTAAAAGAATTAATTCAAAGGGTGACAAGAGACGAGGATCGATCTCTTCATTTCTAAGGTGAGTCCAGAACAGCAAAAAAATACCTCAAACTTCTCTTCAAGGGTGCAGAGTTGCTGATGATTAATTATTTGTGATTTTTCATCCATTAGTCTCAATTTTAAAATGTATGAATTTAAAGTCTTGAAAAAGTTGAGGAGAACTTCAGAAGTTAATTGAATTCCTTGATATCTTGTTGTTTGATTCTGACAGATGGAGAAAAGATAAACAAAGTTAGCACAAAAGCTACTATATCAAAAAAAAAAAAAAAATCTAGTAGCATGATTATATACCTGTTGTTCCTTTTGCACAAAAGCATTTATCTTCACCTCAAGTTCCCTTATGTTACCTTGCAGGCCATTGAGTATAGCATTAACATCGGCAGAAATCTTTGCAACAAGCTGCACTAGGAATCAGGAAAAATTGAGTGATGAAAGGGTGTAAATGAAGTAACACCAACTGAAGGAAGGATCTTTACTTACATCCATAAAGGAATAAGAATGCTTTGATACTTCTGAATTCACTTCGCTAAAAGCTAGCTGAGAATTTTCATTAAGTTCTTGGGCCGAAACAGCTAAATTCTGAATATCAGAGCTATACTTGTCTTTCAGCTTCTGGAGCTGAGTCTTTAACTCATCTGTAGCCTGCCGTTAAATTCAAGAAAGATTGGTACTGTTTGCAGGTTGCATATAATGAAAGTACCATATGTCAAAGATTTTTTACTGTACCCTCCTTTTAGTAGCTAAGAAGGATTGTGTATCTTCTAATATTACATTCAATTGCTGCTCTTGTTTGGTTACAGAAACTGCAGTGTTTCTCTTTAAACTTTCAAGTTGCTGAGTTAATTTGTTGCGGAAATTTTGCACGAGAATTTTGTTTCTCTCCTCCCTATTGTTGCTTTTCTCTATTTTATAAGAAACATATGTTAGAAGAAGAAAGATGCTAGCCAGATAAAGATCATAAGAAATAGTAAGACGAACCAATTTTGGCGAACAAGGTGGATATCTCTGATTCTGCATTCTCTACTTCAGCTCGAAGCTCAAGTGCTTTGTCAGTCATTGCCTTTTCTAAATGACGAGAGGGAAAATTTTCAGATTTCAGTACTTTCAAGAATGAACTTTAAGATACCAATTTGCTATTAATGGACATATCTTTAGTCCTACGTGGTTTGGTTCAGGAAATTTGATTCATCTTTGTATTTCAATGAGATGCTTGGGACACACTTCAGAGTTTAACTCACCAGATTTAATGAGATTAAATACCAGACGATCCTTCTCTTGAACCGTCTCTTTAGCTAGACTATTTTGAGCTTCTAGATCATTGAAAGCTTGTTCAACTTCCTTGAGTTCTCTCTGCCATAAAACAGAGGCTGGAAAGTTTAGTTATCTTCAACTTTCTAGCTATCTTAGTTCAAAAAAGAGACATGAGAGGTAACTTGTTCAAGTAACATTCCACCTGAGTTCTCTCAAGTTTTTCGGTTAAATTTGCTGTCAGTTGTCGCTGATAATCATAAAGATCCTGAAGCTCTCTCAGTTTCTGCTCAGAAACTGTGACTTCTCAATGATCTTGGAATAAATTAGCACTGCATAAGCTGCCTACACGACAGACCAGGTGATACTTACCTTGTTTTTGGACTCTAAATCATGTTCTGTGAACTTCAGTCTCTCAACTATTGCCTAAAAGGGGAAAAAGAAAAGCATTTTAGCAATTAACTTTCTTCCTATTTTACAGATCAAGAGTTGCACTCCAGAAATATTGATGGGAAAAGCACCTTGTGAGCTGCCTCTTCACTCAAGTAGCGGTCTTGTGGTATGTAGATTCCATTCTTCTCCCTCGTTGCGTGTAATTCTACAGAGCAAAGAAGCATGTCTATTGTTATAACACCATATAAATTAATTAATTCTCAAAGTATAGATCTCATTATAACCTTGCTTTAGGCGGTCCATCTCCACATACAGATCTGTGATTAGTGCAGATTTGGTCACCTTCCGGTTGACCTGGAAATAGTACTTGAGGATGAAATTTGTGGTGGATAAAATTGTTCGAAAGCAAATTTTCAAAGAATAAAATGAACAACCTCTGGCCTGTTTTTAATTTGCTTGGCACGATTAGCATATTCAAGAGTACTGAGAGTCTCTTCCAAGCACTGAATGGATGGTGAAACTGTGGCAATTATGCATGTCTTTGTTTTTCCTCCTAATGAATCCCTCAGTAACCTTGTCAATTTGCTATCTCTGATATCCCAAACACTCATTTTTCAACAGTTGCTTCTGTATTATAACATCTATTCGAATGTTTATATAATGATTAAGCGAGTTTTATACCTGTATGGAACATGTCCAGAATGATCAACCAAAGCATTGATGACTCTGCCCAAAGTAAGCAAGCTCTTATTTATCTCACCAGCCTCTCTTGCTCTTCCCTGGATTTTAGAGAAGTAAATTCCATTACAACCCTCAATTATCACTGTAATAAAACAAATAATTTAACTTAAATACATTGTATTAAGAATTTTTACACTACTAGTGTAATTTAACTTGTTATAGTTGGTTGTCTGCTTTATTTTTTATGTAACTTGTTCCACTTGTAATGGGCAGTTACTTGTAGTTACAGGTGACCTGGTAGTGTTTCTTTTACGCTCTCAGTCTATAGAAGTTAAGGTTGTCTCCGAGACTTTTAGGTCACTGGTTCCAGCTGTGGAATCAGCCAATGATGCCTGCATTAGGGTAGGCTGCCTACATGTGCTGCCCTTCCCCGGACCCTGCATGAACGCGGGATGCTTCGTGCACTAGGCTGTCCTTTTTAGTCTATGGAAGTTAAACTCATAAGTGAAATAAGTAAAATAACTATTTTTAATAATTCTGAGGAGATTATTGACGGGAGAAGCTCCACTAACGTTGTACCTCTTTCGCTCCCGAGCGTAAAATGTTCTCAGATCCAGCTAGGTCAACAAGATTAAGTTTTCCACACTTTATCAGTTCTAGTCCCTCAGGAGTGCATTCCTTAACTTGTAAGGTGATGGAAAATATTGAATGAGACCTATTACTTTGTTTGTTAAGAAGCGTCTCAGCTGTATGCTTATTAACAGAGCCTTTCTCCAAAATTTTGTATATTTCATCTGCCGTTGACACTGCCACCTCTTCTAGGCCTCTGATGAAAACTGCACCTTTTCCATCTTCCATAAGGGCTAATGGCTTTCTCGGCTTCTCTTCTATCGATTTTGATTCCTCATCCAGCGAAAGAAGATCTGTTATTTCCTCATTGTAAATCTCTATATATGCAACTTTCATAGTGTACTCTGCCTTTTGGCACTCCAAAATGTCAAAAATTTGCTGGACTGCTCTTGGGATTACTCCAGCATTCTTGTGAAACTCCCCATTCTACAAGCATTAACATTGAAAAGGATATAAAAAACGATAAGCCAACAAAATGACAGTTACATTCGAGGGGGTAGCCCGTGTACTAAGCTCCCGTTATGCACGGGGTCCGGAGAAGGGCCAGACCACAAGGGTTTATTGTACGCAACCTTACCCTGCATTTCTGCAAGAGGCTGTTTCCACGGCTCAAACCCGTGACCTCCTTGTCACATGGCAACAACTTTACCAGTTACATTTCAGGGAAGAACAAAATAAAAGAAGAGAGAATCAGAGAAAACCTTCTCTTTAATTGCTTCCCCTTCCATTGTGTAAGTTTTTCCTGTTCCGGTTTGGCCATAAGCAAAAATAGTACAAGTATATCCCTCGAGAGCTTCATTAACAAGAGGAGCCACAGAATGATCATAGAAGTCCTTTTGCTGAGATGATGGACCACAAACCTAACAAATATTGTGGCATCAAAGGGGTTCAAATATATACCTACACAAATTTTCATAGTAATGTAAAATGTAGAGAACAGATTTAAGCTGACATTATAAGAAGAAAACCTTATCAAAGACAAAGGTTTTGTTTAGTTGCTTAGTAGCTGTGTTCAAATTTGCAGTAACTTCTTTTCTCAGGTCGTTGCACGAGATCACGGAGGGACCTTTCACCTTCATTTCATCCTCATTTGGAGGCCTGAAACACAAATATGTCACTTGCTAGTAAGTTTCAATGGTAACTTGATAAGTCGCCACCTACATGTCTTGCTTTTGGTGTTATATCCTTCTAACCTCTCAGTAACGAATGATCATGTGAGACAAAATTATTTAGCTCGAATTTGTCTGGTAGAAAATGAAGATAGGACTCTTGATTATCCACACTATCTGAATACATTTTTTTTTCAATATTAAGAACATGTAAAATTCCACATGTATGAGCTTGCTCATATTGACGGTCCCAAGCCTAGATAAAAGGAGAAGGGTTGTGGTAGGCTGACAACCAGCATAAAAATCGTCACTGATAATGAATCCTCACAATATAAAATACACTTAAATGAAGCAACATATGGACAACGAGATTCATATAAGTGATTCAACTTGATTGAGATTGAAGCATGTAAATACACTTAAATGAAGCAACATATGGACAACGAGGATTCATATAAGTGATTCAACTTGATTAAGATTGAAGCATGTAGTTGTAAGAACATGTAGAATAAGCAACGGAAAATTTAACTAGTTCATACCTGCAACGCAATATAACTTTCACATTTACCCCTTTTTCGTCATTTGATCGCGAATCTCTACATGGCTTTTCATTTGACCCCAATGTTTGAGACATCAAGAAAGGAGGTATACTCCCTCTTCGTTGATGATTCGACTTTGGTGTTTCCATTATGAATGCCCTGTTAATCTCCCTTTCAGGCAGAGGAAACGAAGGTTAATCTCCCTTCTTAATATATGATAATATCAGAATCCCAAATATGGAGATTATTGTTTATGAAACTTGAGGATAGTTCGGGCAGGGGTGGAGCCAGCTCTTCGGCTACGGGTTTGGCCGAACCTAGTTGCTTTGGTCCAAACCTTATATTTGTCTTAAGAAATTCATTGAATATGCACAAATTATAAAGTTAGAACCCGGTAACTTAAAAGAACTATAATCCTGAAAAGTTTCAAATCCTGACTCCGCCTCTGAGTTCAGGATCATCAACTCTACTAAGACTCAGGCTGGAAATTCACAGAATAAAACATGAGAAAACATACAGTGCCCAAGTTTCAACATAAAAGAACAAATTAGGAAGGTCTAAAGTTGCTGTTTTTTTTTTTTTGTATATATTATATGTTCTTGATTACCTTATGCAGATGGAAACTTGCAGCAGGCTGGCCGGCCGGATGTTAAAAGGTTTTGGATATCTAACACTAGTAAAGTAGTAATTAAAGAAAACAAGATTTAGTTTGAGGTTGAGAATAAAACAAGAAGGGAAACAGAAAATCTTTGGCGTTACATTTGCATAATAAAGACTGTATCTTATTGATGAGCTTTAACTACTTTATTGACGTTTTGTGTCATTAGTCAATGGTACGTTAGGAAAAAAGACATTAACTTCTGTATTAGGCTTTGTTTATACAATAAGAAATGGTCATAAATATATGGTGTGTTGCTGAAGTGTGTTGTCATAAAGGGACTGATTACAGTCTAAACTTTTGTCATTTTGCTATACTTTATTGGTAGCACACTGTAGCAAATCCATGGAGAATTTAACTTTTATGCACCGGTAATTCATAACTTTTTACACGATTAAAATAAGGTGACTTACAATAATAATTGTTTATATAGCTCCGAACTTGATAACCAAAAAAGTGTTTTCCTTGTGTCGGTTTTCTTATTGTTCTGTAATTTTTGTTGTTGTTATTGTTTTTGTCTTTATTATTTCAACATGAGTTTTTTACTATTGTTTTTTCTTTTTCTTGAGCCGAGGGTTTACCAGAAACAACCTCTCTACTTCCACAAAATAGGGGTGAGGTCTGCTTATACACTACTCTCCCCAGATCCCATACTGTTGGAATATATTGAGTATGTTGTTGTTCGACTTTTTTAGAACAGGTCCAAGTCAAATAGGAATGATTCGAAGCACGCCTTTTTACACTATTTCGGAGACCCAAGAACTCAATCGGATATGTAAAATACAGGATTTTCAATCCTAGCAGGTAGGGGTATTCATGGTTCGGTTTGGGTCGGTTTTTCCCTAAAAAGAAACCAAACCATAAGTCTGTTTTTCAAACATTAGAACCAAACCAAACCAATTAAGTCATTTTTTTATCGATTCGGTTTTTGTCGGTTTTTGTTGTTTTTTCGGTTATTTATCCGATTTATCTTAAATATGAGGCATACACTACCAAACGCATAATCCGACGACTACATTTTCAACGTAACATTATCAAATCAATTGCTTTTTGAGAAATCTATCATTTACCAAGATATATTGATGATAATTGAATCAAATAGTGATGAATAATTTAAGTACTCAATTAAAATTTAATTATTTTTAACATGAAATAAATTCTTGTACTTAGCAAAAGAAAACTACCGATCAAACTAGAATGTAAAGGCAAAGAGTTAGATGATTATAATAGCAAAGAACTAGACTAAAAATACAAATACCTAATATGTACCATAAAATTTTAGAAACTTTATATAAATATATATATATATATATAGGTGTAATAATAAATTTGAAATAGCTACTCCTATAATCGGTTTGGTTCGGTTTTTTCTGATTAAAATCAAAACCAAACCAAATCTGATCGGTTTTTAAAATTCAAAA